GTATAGATGTGGGGATGTCAGCATATAAGTGGTGTTTTACCATAGATATAGATGTGATGTTGTCAGAATATAAGAGGGTATTTCATACTATGAGGCTTGAAGCAAGGGAGTGGGTCTAGAGTAATGTGGAGAAATGCGTCAACATTTTTTTTTAAGTTACAACATGTTTGTATGCCATTGAGAATGATTCAGTAAAAGGGAGGTATTGATGCTGCAGGAGAAAAGTGGAAGAATTATAGGAACGAAGTCCTCGATTAGGCTAGAGCAGAGGAAGCCAGTATGCAAGTGGACTGGAGAAGCTTCACAGGAGCATCACAGACCTCACTTGGCTGAGGTGCAACAAGGGAACTTGACTGAGTTGCAATTGCCATTTCCTTGTTAGCATTCCTCATTAGATTGTAAGCCCAGAGAGGGCAGGGATCCTTCGTAATGTGTTCAACATTATACTACAGTTCCTGACGCAACGTCTGGCTCATCTGACAAAATTGATAACTGTTTGCTGTGTTAAATGGACAAGTAAACAAATTATCCTATTTGGGCAAATGTAGTTCATAAATAAACATCTGTTCACTTGCATGGAATATAAAAATGAAAAACTTAGGAGAATATAACCAAAGTAGGAGGAAAAAGTGACATTTTAAATATCTTCAGTTTGTTAGATATCCAAAACTTTTCTATTAATGAATGTTTGGATATTTTCTAGATTGTTGAGATAAATTGAATTAAAATAAATTAAATAATAATTGCTAACATTTGTGAGCGCTTATATGTGTCAGGAATTCTTCCCTTAAGCCTTTATATTATCATTTCACTTAATTCTTATATCATACCTTAAATATCTACTACTATTATTATTATTACACTTTAAAGATGAGGACCTGAGCCACAGAGATGGTAAGGAATTGCCCTCAGATTAGACAGCAGCTACTTGGTGGCAGAGTAGGAATTGAAACCCAGACACCTTCTCTCCAGAGCCCAGGTAACTAGTCACTTTCAGGCCTTCTAATCCCCAGTCTACTACGCCTTCGCTATTTAAAAAGTGAAGAATAAATTAAATATGAAAATAACTCCACTAAAACATACCACGTAAAGTCAAAGGATGAATGACAAACAGGGAAAAATATTTGTAATTCATATCAGAGACAAGACTAATTTATGAATTGATCATAGAAATATGTAAGAGAAAGACAGGAGACTCAATGGAACAATGGACAAAGGAAATGAATAGTTCACAAAGAAAAACATACATATGGCCTTTAAGTGTATGAAAAAATGTGCAATCTGACTCAATAAGAGAAAGGCAAATTAAAACCGTGCCGAAATAACTTTTTTTTTTTTTAAACCTATGAGGTTGACAAATAATCAAAAGGTTGGCCTACAGTTGCTGTGGCAAGGCCGTGAGAAACAAGTACTCTCTTACCCTGCTGGTGAAAATGCAAAATAATACAAATAGAGCAATTTTAGCACTGTCACAAAGTGATTAGCTTTTGACTCAGATCACTCTGGGAATTAATCCTCAGGTACACCTAACCACTTACAGAATGATACATAAACAAGGATATTCATTGCAACATTATTTCTAGTTCAAAAGATTGGAAACACCCAAATGTTCATCAGTAAGAATTAATCAGCTATGAGAATGAGGAGGCTCCCTCATACTGACTCAGAAAGTTATCCAGGATATGCCATAAAAAAAAAAAAAAAGGGAAAGTAAAAGATAGTATATATAATATGATTATCATTTGTGAAAGACTGGGAGAGAATAAGATTACATATGAGTCTATGGTTTAAATCTACAAAAGAACTACTGGAAGGATACTCAGAAACTCATATATGTGACAACCTGTAGAGGTAGGATCAGGTGGGAGTGAAGAAGTGTTTTTAAAACACTTTATACATACTTTAATATACTTTACATATAATAACACAAACCTCACAGAAAGTCATGACTGGGGAAAGTAAGATATTCAATGTGTACTGTGTTTTATTTTTGATCTTTGAACCATGTGCATATTTTGTTATTTACCAATTAGAGAGAAAAAGTACTGATAGGTACACTCACAGAGCACTTCCTGTTTACCTGGCGCTGTGTAAGCATGTTGTTTTTGTTATCTCAGGTATTCCTCACAGCGGGACACATTATCTTTCCCACTTAGCAGGTGAGGGACAGGTTTAGAGAAGTTAAAGAATTTAACTTAAGGCGCAGAGCCGGTAAATTGTGGTGCCTGGGATCAAACCCAGGCTGCCTGGCTCCAGAAGCAGTGCTCTGAGCTACTAATCTATGCTCAGGGTGGTTTTTAACATTGATGGTCTACCTTGAGAAACATAAGAGATGATATCCCCCTCATGGCCAGTTCTCATGGGCACATTAATCTTCGTTTAAAAAAAAAAGAAGAAGAAGAAAAAAGAAAAGAAAAAAACAGTAGTTAGAAATCCCTGACAGGTCTCCAGTAATAATAGGTCACTGTAGCTGTGGCTAAGATGTCCTCAGCCATGGGAGAGCCCTGAAGGCTAGCTGTAATTCCAACCCTTCCTTCCTAAACAAGAAAGATATCAAAGTGAAAGCACAGCAAGGTTATTTTTTTTTAAATACCTGACATTTATTAAGTTCTTACCATGCGCCAGGCACAGATGTCCTAAGTACATTACATGTATATCTATTTAATGTTCACAACAAAAACCTTATTAGATAGATGTTATCATTACCACTGTGATGAGTTGAATTGTGCCTGCCCGCCATCCCTGAAAGGTATGTTGAAGTTCTAAGCCCCAGATAATTATTTGGTCTTAAGTATCAAATAAGATTGGGACCTTATTTGGAAATAGGGTCTTTACAGAGGTAATGAAGTTAAAATGCCATCGTTAGGGTGGGCCCTAATCCAATCTGACTGGTGTCCTTTTAAAAAGGGGACATTTTTATAAAGACACATACAATGGGAAGACGATGTGAAGATGGCCTTGTGATGATAGAGACAGAGACTGAAATGAGAGACCTGAAACCAAAAAACAAAATACAAGGGAGTGCTGGCCACCACCAGAAACTAGAAGGGACCCTTCCCAGAGTATCTGAGGGAGCATGGCCCTGCCAACACCTTGATTTCAGACTTCTAGCCTCCAGAACTGTGAGACAATACATTTCTTTTGTTTGAAGCCATCCAGCTTGTGGTGCTTTGTTACGGTAGTCCCAGGACATAAATAAAACCACATCTTACAGACGAGGGAACCCAGGTACAGAGAGGCCAAGCAACCCGCCCAAACTGACACTGGTGGTAAGTAATGGGGCCTCGACCTGAGCCTGGGAAGTCTAGCTTCAGAGGAATGCTTTATTCTGAGGGTAAATTTATATTTTTAAAAGTTATTTTGCAATTTTCAGTTAGCTATTATTCAAACAAATCATCTCACTTCATGACTGAGGGCTCTGAACACTCTGTTTTGACTTCAACCCCTGTCAAAGGGCAAAGCACAGAGCGTTCAGAGCAGGGCAACCTGGGCAAACTCAAGAGGGCATAGCAATGGGAGCCCACGAAGCCAAACCAAACTCAGCCGTGCAGCTGCTGGAGCTGGGGTCCAGCTAAGGGGGCTTTCCGGTTCTCCCTGAAACAGCTGAGTGTGGCCAGGACCCAGGGGGTACGCACTTCAAAGCAATAGAAGCTTCCCCACAGCCTCTCATTTTTGAACAGCAGGAGCCACAATCTAGGAATGTGAGTTGTTTGAATTATTATTACTATTTTTTTTTAGCTGAAGACAGGGTCAGGTGAAGTTCAAGAGAGCTAAAGCAACTTGGAGGAACTGCCTTTCCACATTCCTTTTGTGCCCAGATGCCCACCAAACAAAAATATGTCCTGAATGGTACAATGCTTTACAGATAATATGGAAAGAGGAGGGATGAAGGAAAGGTCCGGTCGAGCACTGGATGCAGCGCCCATGTTTGTCTGTCTAGCACCTCTGGGTGCCCCCTCTTGAAAGATGCAGCCCTGTGAATAACCCACTTGGTGAGTGGTGGCCTCCAACTGCAGCCAAGAGGCAGGCGAAGATGTACCGGAGACAGACATCACAGTTCAAAACAGCATTTGGGTAAACCAAGAGTCAAATGACCAATGGGGAATTGGAAGCAGATTATGGTTATGTCTGAGCAGAGGAACAGGGCCTGGGCAGACGTTCCCCCCAGCCATACTGCTGAAGTGAGGAATATTTCAGTACTTTCACCAGGACAGATCATCCTGTATTGAATTACACAGTTCGACGTCTACTCCGATGACTCCAGGTTGGAAGGAAGGATGCCTCATGTGACCCTAACTTCCACCATTTCTCGGTACAGTGTAGGTGTTCAATAAACACTTATTATCTGGGTGATTTGTTTACTGGGTGACTTGCCATAGGCTTTGCATTCCTGATTAGGATCAGAGAAAAAGGAGAAAAAGTGTCTCCGGTCAAAGCCTGAGTGACAGGTCTGCATCACCACAATTCTGGAATGGAAGAAATATGACCTAAATCCCAAATGGCCCTAAACAAAATGCATGCCTCTGAACACAACTCAGGATGTCAAGGAAAAGAAACAAAATAGTTAACCTTTGCCTAAAGTGGAGGCAAAAGGGTGATGTATCCAAATGTTAAAGGGGTCAGACATTGAGGCAGAGTGAGGGAAAGATTAATTTCCTTAATTTTAAACTTCTTAGACATCAGGCACTAATAAACCCAGGTTTATCACACATTGGTGAAAACAAGCTTTATTTTATAATTCCAAATATTTAAAGAATACCTCAATCTTAACATTTGAGTGTCTGTTGAAAATAAATACCCAGAAACAGCAGCAGATTTCCATAGAAAACTTGCAAAGATGCACCCTATATATTTTCTTATCTTTTTTCAAAGTTTAAATGCTAGGGCTCTGTATATTGCAATGTGGATTAACATTGTTATGTACTTTGCTGCTAAAAAGACCTTGAAATGCTAATCCTACAGGAAACTTCCAGAGACAAGCAGAAAAGTAACTGACTCACCTGGGCGTGTACTCTGCTGTGAGGACGCTTATTTCTAAAATGCAGATTGCAGCTGCAAAGCTCCAGCAGGCTGACATGCTGCTCTTGCTGGGTGGCTGCGAGTGGGGTGGCAGAGCAGGTCGGGTAAGGCATTTATTTGCAAAGGGCCAGAGGACAGGGAACAAGTATTGTTTGTCTGCATTCAGGGTTTTTGTCAATTTGGGTGGCCTGGGTACTGAAGTCCAACCAAAGGAGAATCATTTTGTAATTCTTGGCCTCCTGTTTTCTCATATTGACAAATAGATGTAGGGCAATGGGCCTGTGAATGCTGAAGTCCCTAAGATGGGCAGCAGTCCTGGGTGAAAATGGAAACAAAGGCTGGGCACGGTGGCTCATGCCTGTAATCCCAGCACATTGGGAGGCTGAGGTGGGTGGATCACCTGACGTCAGGAGTTCGAGACCAGCCTGGCCAACATGGTGAAACCCCATCTCTACTAAAAATACAAAAAATTAGCCAGGCATGGTGGTGGGCTCCTGTAATCCCAGCTACTCTGGAGGCTGAGGCAGAAGGATCGCTTGAACCTGGGAGGCAGAGGTTGCGGTGAGCCGAGGTGGGGCCACTGAACTCCAGTCTGGGCAACAAGAGCAAAATTCTGGCAAAAAAAACAAACAAAAAACAAACAAACCAAAAAAAACCCAGAAACAAAAATGAAGAACCCCCAGCAGTTCTTATTTTGCAAGACTGGAGGGGTTGGGTGGAAGATGAGGGAGTATGCAATTTTGGGGGAAAAAAAGCCTGTGGATGCTTCTCATAGAGGCATAAAGTCAAAGTTAGTAAAGAACTGCACTTAACGGAAAGGATGGCACAGACGTAGATGCTTCTTTTTTTTTTTCTTTTTTTTTTTTTTTTTTTTTTTTAAATCTGCAAATGGGCTGTGTGGGTTATTTCCATGTGAGCAAATGCATTTATAATCCTGGCTTTCCTTATAGGCAGAGTGGAACATTTTGAAGAATGAGATGTAAACTCCCGAAGGCATTAAGGGCATCCACCAGAAAGACTGGTCTCCTTATCTCAGCATCACACATGTCAACAAGATAGAATCTGAGATAGAAAACTTGTTCCTGCCCATGAAAAAGAATTTCCCCCTCACATTTCACGCTTCCCAGCACTTGTGGGAAGAGCAGTGCATTTTTGGGAACATCAGAGAATGTGAACATCACAACTGCTCTTAAAGCATTGACTGCAAAAATAGAATGACCTGGGGACTCTTGAGAACAGTAGTGATGGCTGCCTGCTGTCCGCTCAGCTCTAAGTTGATTGACTTGTGATGACACTCTGCATCCATGCTTTCGAAATCACGCTTTTGTGGTTCATTCTAACGTGTAGCCAGGGTTGAGATTGAGGATGACTACCTTGAGAAGAAGGACATCAGACATCTCTGGATATAGTTCTTAAAGGGACTTCATCAGTATTGTTATTACCTATAGGTAAATTTCAAACATTAGCACATATAAAGACCTGCAAAACAAGGGGTGGGGTTGAGGGAAGACAGAATATACAGCTATTTTGTCCAATACTGCCTTACCTTTTCCACTGATGTTCCTACCTGGGGTAAAATGTATCTACTTTCACCTACTTTCTTGGCCCCTCTCCTTTTTATGCAGAGAATTTGAGGTCTTTAATGGGACTGATCTCACTTCTTCCTGAGCTTGCTGTGGAGTGTAGGCCATGCAGAACTGCCAAGTAACAAGATGATTCGAATGGATGCCACAACTCTTGTAACTATGTCATGGGATGAGTCCATGCCTGAAAGACACTTCCTGTGAGTCCTGGCTAGTAACAGATGGGCTACATTTGGAAACAGTATAAATCTGTCAAATATGCTGTAGCAGGGCAGGCGCAGTGGTGCACCCCTATAATCCCAGCACTTTGGGAGGTAGACACGGGTGGATCACTTGAGGCCAGGAGTTTGAGACCAGCCTGGTCAACATGGTGAAACTTCATCTCTACTGAAAATACAAAAATTAGCCAGGTGGGGTGGTGTGCTCCTGTAATCCCAGCTACTTGGGAGGCTGAAACATGAAAATTGCTTGATCCCGGGAGTCAAAATTTGCAGTAAGCCAAGAGGGCACCACTGCACTCCAGCCTGGACAACAGAGTGAGACTCTGTCTCAAAAAAAGAAAAATGCTGTAGCAATGTTGAGGGCTCTTATGAGGCCTCTCTGGACCCTATCAAGATACTTACGGAAATAAAGACAGAAAAGCAGTCAGAATGGGATGCTTTATACTAACTAGATTTGATGCTAATTGATTAGAAATTGTGATGATTAGACTTGATAAGTTGATGTGACTGGAGATTGACAAATCACCTCTCTCTTTGGAGACTAAATCAATGGAAGGGGGATGAGGGAGAGAGTGGATATTTTTTGCTGACTAGTTTGAATAGGGGGCTTTTCTGAATTGCTCAGTTGTATTTATTTTATCACCATAGTTCAGGTTAAATGTAATGTAGAAAAATAATGAGAGCAGTAAAGTATACTAATAGCATATTAACTATATATTATATATTGGCAATATATAATGTATTAGTCCGTTTTCACGCTGCTACAAAGATACTACCTGACTGGCACAATGGCTCACGCCTATAATCCCAGCACTTCGGGAGACCCAGGTGGGCAAATCACCTAAGGTCGGGTGTTCGAGACCAGCCTGGCCAACATGGTGAAACCCTGTCTCTATCAAAAATACAAAAAAATTAGCCAGGCATGGTGGTGGGTGACTGTAATCCCAGCTGCTTGGGAGACTGAGGCAAGAGAATTGCTTGAACCCAGAGTCGGAGGTTGCAGTGAGCTGAGACTGCACCACTGTACTCCAGCCTTGGTGACAGAGTAGGACTCTGTCTCAAAAAAAAAAAGAAAAAAAAAAAAGATACCACCCGAGACTGGGTAATTTACAAACAAAAGTGGTTGAATTGACTCACAGTTCTGCATGGCTAGGGATGCCTCAGGAAACTTACAGCCATGGTGGAAGGTGAAAGGAAAGCAAGGCATGTCTTAAATGGCACATTAGGAGAGAGCAAGAGTGAGGAAGTGCCATACTTTAAAACCATTAGCTGGCTGGGCATGGTGGCTCACGCCTGTAATCTCAGCACTTTGGGAGGCCGAGGCGGGTGAACCACCTGAGGTCAGGATTCAAGACCAGCCTGGCCAACATGGAGAAACCCTGTCTCTACTAAAAATACAAAAATTAGCTGCGCGTGGTGGCAGGCGCCTGTAATCTCAGTTACTCGGGAGGCTGAGGCAGGAGAATTGCTTGAACCCAGGAGGCGGAGGTTGCAGTAAGCCGAGATCGTGCTGTCACACTCCAGCCTGGGAGACAAGAGCGAGATTTCGTCTCAAAAACAAACCATTAGCTCTCATGAGAATTCACTCACTATCACAAAAACAGCACAGGAGAAACTGTCCCCTTGATCCAATCACCTCCCACCAGGTCACTCCCTCAACATGTGGGGATTACAATTTGAGATGAGATTTGAGTGAGGACACAGAGCCAAATTATATTATATATTACATTTTATAAATTATATAATTATAATATATAGTATGTAATAATATATTACATACCATAATGCATACTTATATATTCTATATATTATATAAATATATAAAATATATGAATAATATGCTTTACATTTTTATAATGCTTTTAACTCTTTCTTGTCCTTAACATTTATCATGTGTCTGACATGATTTGAAATGAGGCTTATGTTTCTGTGTGTATGTCACAGAAATAAAGCATCATCATGCGTTAGACTAGAGCAGTGAACATAATAACATTTTCATTTGTAGAACACTTACAGGCTTCCAAATTACAAAATAAATGTTTATTGAACTTCTAATATGTGTCAGGCCATATATACATATATATGCAATTTCATTTAGTCCTCAAAATAACCTGTTTTACAGCTGAGGGAATGGAGACACATTGAGATTACATCATTTGTCCAGCATCAGCCAGGGATGAGTAACTGCAAATTTGTACTTGCTATATCTGGCTCCACATCTCAGGCTTTTCCTACCTTGCTATCACTATTGTTATTATTTTAACTATGTCATGTTGCTTATAGGGTGCTTTACTATAAAATTTCTTACTGAGTCCTGTCAACTCCATAGAAGGTAAGCTTTTATTCTTGTCTCACAGATGAGGCTCAGAGAAATACCTGCAAGGCTACACACACAGAAGAGGCAGGGGTGAGATTTGAACAAACCATGTCTTTAAACTCTGATTTCAGGGTTTTCCACTCTGCCGAGGGTTTTCACTAATCAGTTGCCCTTTGTTTTCTTCTTAGTTTCAATTTTCTTGGGAACTTTGTGATAGTGAACTAAGTTTTTTGCTTAATAATACTTTTCCCAGTTTTTAAGGCAGACACAGGCATATGTACATTAAAACTCTGACCTGCAGGCAGAAACACTTAATTTTTACTGATTTGATATAAATGTCTTGAGGGTCATTTCCATTTGGCTCTTTTAGAGTGATGGAAACTGTTTCTTGAAAGTCATTTAGCAGTAAGTAAAGGGATCTTAGTGTACATTCCATAGCTGTTTCTTTCCGACTGTCCAAAGATCCACAGGTCTCGCAATACCATAGTGAAATTTTAGGGCTTCCACTTACAACATGCGTAGTCAGTGGAGATAACTAGACTCATTGAATAGAGAGAACTTGGAGATCACCGTCAATTGCATGTTTTAGGTGTGTCATATTTGCTGTTATGCCCCTCACATCTAGCATTGCGTCTAGCACATTTATGAATTACAAGCACTAATAGATGAATGAATGAATGCAGATTGGGAAAATAACATCCTTGTTCTTAAGGTCGAATGGTTAGGGCAGGGGAAGCATCAGAGCCCAGCTCTCTTCCTTGCTGGTCCTGTGCCATTTTCCTTCTAGCACTTTCAGATGAGCTCTTTTATAATGAAGGAGGAAAGAACAAATTTCTCTACTGAGTGGTTCTGAAGCTCTTTGTGAAGTTCAGTCGAGGTGATGTAAGTCTGGCTGTCCCTTTACAGTAATAAGGATTCCTGTGGCTTAGATCTGTTTACCATCACATAGAACTATGTAGGGCACACTTGATTACATTATAGCATTTCATTTTAAAGGAAGACTCAGCACAATCCTCTTCTCTTTTGAG